TCATTATTAATTAATAAACAAACTAGGACAAAACTGTGACATTAGCAGGTATCTTATTTTTGTTATACTATTTACATACTAAAAATGTCCTGCACTGTGTTTGTCATGGTGGTTCATCTTTGTGATGTTTCCTACGGTCTATGAAGGTGGTATTGTTTTATTTTACCTTCAGTTGCACATTAACTACCAATAATGCATGATATTTTTGGCATCTGTGTAGAATAAGAAGGTGATGTGTTATGCAGTCGTTAGGAGAACATCATGGGGCAATGCTCACTCTTCAAAAACCAAGAGCGTTTTGGTTCTAAGAGGCCCAGACTGCCTTCTGCAAGGTGCTAAGTCACTCTGAAGTTCAGTTGGCTTTGACAGAAACGCGACTTCCAAAGGATATGCAACTTCTCACAGGATTGGGATGTTGGGCCCTGATCTGCAATGGCGCTTAGGTACCTAACTCGCCTTGATGTTACTGGGAGTTAAGCACCTGAGTATTTTTGAGGCTGTAGGTTTTGACAGGTACATGAAAAATGCGGTTCTTTCTTACGAAGCTGCATGGCTTCCCTTTTCCTTACTTAGACTTCAACTCTGTTTTTTCCGCTGTTTGAAAGTTCTGGCTTTGGGCCTGTGCACTTTATACATACATTCAAAAGCATTTCCTTGAGCAGTTTTCTTTTTTAGCACTGACTTGCCGGTTATCCATACATAGAAGTCTCACAGCATGAATGAGAGAGAATTCCAGCTTTAGTCTGTGGTGTTGTGTTGTCACCAAAACCAGACTGGCTTCCCGTGTCATTCCTGTGAAAATAATCAGGCACAGGAGGCAAAACGGAATGTTAACTATCCGATCTTCTGTAGTCAGATTTTATGTCTGATGTGAAAAAACGTGCATTAAAATGTTGCGTAATGTCCAGTTAAGTAACTAGAAGTCATTTCTTCTGCATGTAGATAAATATGCACACAGCAGTATAGCAATTAGTACTACACTGGCTGACTGTTAGGACCTAAATTTATCTCTAGAGAAGAGTGAAAAAACTGATAGATGTCCCTGTAACAGCAACCCTATCTCTAGGTTTGAAGAGTTTCTGGCATTGTTGTGAGTAGGAGATTCCACATAGCTGGTCCTCGTTAGCTCCTGCAGGTCGTGTTCTTGAGGCATTCTATCATTGATTCCCTTATCAGATAAGATACCCAAATATTTATGGGAGTTTTGTTTGTGTACCTGTCAGCTTGGAGGCCAAATGCATTCTTGCAAATAAAACGTTTCCTAAGAAATGCTGATTGCTACGGACTTAACTGTTATTGTGCATTTTGAGCTAGGATACAGGAGTCAGAGGTGCATCTTTGTTCCTTGTCCATAAGCCCCAGGAAGGACAGGTTGTTCCAGGAGCGCTTGCTGAGACGCTGTGGCACCACACTGCAGTTCTTATTCAAGGCTGAGGCTAACTCATTAACTTGAGTCTTTATTGATGGTTATTTAGGACTGTTACATATATATTGTTGCAAGCTGCCTGATCAATTTTAAAATAATTTGAGAAAGGAAACATCATGTTAACTTCTAAGCAAAACAATAACAGCTGTTGTTAAGAACTTTGTAAATTAGGTCAGAATATAGCTGTTGGTTGACGAAGCCAATACAGTTGCCAATTAGAAGTCATTCTGTACCTCATTTGTGGTACTTTTGGGAGGCATGCACGCAAGTCCTTTTGTTAACACTGGGACCTTATAAATTAGAAAAAGCCATTTCTTTTCAGTAATAAATCAAGTAAAATCTGTTGCAGTAATTGCTTAGGATATGTTACCAATCTTCATCCCAGCTGTAATTAATAAACGAGCCTGCCTCTTGGTTATTTTTCCCCTTGCATTTTAATGTCTTAGTTCATTCTTACAAATAGTTTGTTACATCATATAGGAGAATATTATAATAGGCTGCATTGTGGTTTTTTAAATATCATCAGTTAAAAAAACACATTCCTAAGCAAGTGAAAAGAATGCCAAGCAATTGAAAAGAACAGAGATGCTAAAAAATTTTCAAGCTTAGGTCTCGTTGCAAATCATAGTTCCACAGTTCTTCACAGGAAGGATTACATGGTTTTGTGCTTTTGAGATGCCTTTATCTGAAAACGTAAACCAAATCTGATAGGTTAGCATGTTACTGAACTTTTATTTTGGAAGAGCCAAAGTACAGTGAAGTTCATGATTTGTGTGGAAAGTGATTATTCTTTAGGGGAATAGGTGGAAGGACATTTTTGCTGGATCCTGTTGAAAATGGAGTTGTTACTGCTATAAAATGCTAGTAAAGATGTGAAGCTAGGTTCTATATATTTAAAAGCTGAACATCAAATGAAATACGGTAATTATCATAGGGTTTTTTCCTTGGAAACAGGGATGACCATTAACATTTCTATTAGTTCTGAACTATACGTATGTGTTCGGTACCTAAAGTCCTAATAGGTTTTTCTTTCCTTTGTTCTTTATTTCAACCAAGATTATCTCTGCTGCAGTTGGTGGAACTGCTCCCATTCTATGCTTTAAATAAAAGCTAAGTTTGATCTGTGGGGAGCACTGCCTGCATGAGGTGTGTAGGAACAGCTGTATTGTCATGAATACAAACAAGCAGAGACCTGCAAAATGTCCGTAAATGTAGGTCATGATTTTTCAACAAAAAATCCTTTCAACATTAACACTCTGGTTTTAGAGGTGGTGTGCTTGCTCCTTTATAAAAATATCCAGTGTTTAGCTCCTGTTTCAAATGTTATGAATTCTCCCAGTGTGCATTATTTGCATAAAATTATTTCAACAACATATGTGTAAATAGTATTTGTATTCCCTGAATCTTGTGTATATTTCTTCTTTAAAAGATTTCATAGTCTACTGTTTTGTGTACAAAGGGTACTTGTTATAACATGTTTTATTCAGACAGATTTAAAGCTCAATGAAAGCATTTGAGAAAGTGTTTTTATGCCCTGAGAGTTAGCAGGTGTTATGATATTTAGCCATAACTATATGCCTGTAGAACAGAAAAGCCTTTAGTAGGGTATAAAGTGTAAAATACATTTTCTCTAAACTACAGTTATCTACTGCAGGACAAACTACATACA